CAAGCCTGTAGTCCCGGACGGTCAGAGTGAATGGACTCTGCAGACAGCCAAACATCCGAGCCGGCAGGCCTGCAGGCCAAGGTCAAGGGCCTGGTTGGGGGAACCTGGACCTCTACACGGGGGATGGAATATCGGGGGACACTTGCTCCCAGGCTCCTCGGAGCCTTTGGCCGGCAGGGGCAGCCCACCCAGCCCGGGGAGAGCATGCGCCCCCCACCTCCCCCTGGATGGACCCTGGGCCTGGTTGGGGAAGAGGAGCCAGTACCCCAAGGAGTTCACAGCCCTGGGCAGCACATGGGACTCGAGTCGGAGGGTGCTGGAGCAAGGGGCCAGTCCTAGAACCATCCAGGGAAGAGGATGACTCTACAGAGATGCTGGGAAATGAGGCAAGCCCTGGTGGGAGACCCGCAGTGAGGACCCGCAGGCCTGGCGAGCCCCATCCACGGTGGAGAACTGTGTCCCTTATGGAGGGCAATGCCCGGCACGCCGTGGCCCCGGCAGAGACGGAGGGCCTGACCACGGGACCCTGGTTCCCCGACTGCAGTGTCCCGAGAGGGCGGGGCTGGTGAGCGGATCCAGACCCCTCACCCTCCACTGTCACTGGGCCCAGTCCCTCAGCTGCTCTTCGGCCATCTGGGGGTCCCACAGACAGCGGAAGGAGGAGGCAACCTGCAGCTGGGGGGGCCGAATGGGTCTGCTCGGGCTGTGGGCACAAGCTGAGGCTGGATGGCAGGTTCACTGCAGCCTCTCACCCCGGCCTGTCCTGGGGGAAAGCGTGGAAGCCCTGAGCATCCTAGCCCCGACCCTAAACCCAGCCCCACACCCTCCACCCCCTGTGCCCCTGGGGGAGGCGGGGCTCATCCCCTCACAGAGCTCCTTCTGCTTAGAACCTTCCTTAGAACCGCATCCTGAGGGCCTGCCTTGAATGCCCCTCAAACGGAACGCAAAGCCCTTTTCCCTTCCCCTTGAAAGGAGAATCAAAAGCCGCACTGAAGCATTTTTTAATACATTTCACAAGTGTTATAAAACCTAAATGCAGATCATTTTATCCACCTGGTTTCTGTCTTTCCTAAATAAAACTCCACAAAGACCGAAAATTTCTTCCCATTCCAAAGTGTGCTCAAGAGCACATTTACAAGGGCGGATGAGTCAAACCCTGCCAGAGGGGGAGGGAGGAAGGGGGAGGGGGAAAGAAGGGGGGAGGGACAGGGAACCGGAGGAGAGTCAGAACGGCCCACACTCACTCTGATTTCATCAGAGCTTCCCTGCCCCAGACTCCTGGCTCCGGGGACGGCAGAGTCCTGCCAGGACCGGGGCACTTCGTGTCTTCAGGCCCAGGCCCGAGGAGTCCGCGGGGCCAGCCCTGCCCACCTCCCGGGCTCCCCACGGGCCGAGTCCCTCCCATGGAGGAGAAGTGGTGGCATCCAGGCCACAGCTCCCGGCAGCCTTGCTGCTGGCCTGTCCTGGGGTTGAGACGGAGCGCTGGTGGGATGCAGGGAAGGGCGTCCCCGTGCGGGCCTGCCCCACGCCCTCCTTCGGGGCTCTGATCCCGCAGCCTGGATCCTAGCTCCCCTCCGCCCCAGGGCTGAGGCTGCCCACCAGGGCCCGAGGCCACGAAGCTCGGTCCCCAGAGACAGCACCATGGGGCTCCGGACGGGCCGAAGCAGCGGCCCCAGCTCTCCCCACCCCCCAGGCTGAAGCTTCACTAGCGCCCGCTCCACACACAGGGAACCCGAGGCTCAGGCAGTGAGAAAGCCACTTGTTTGGAGGCCACGCAGCTGAGATGTGGCCAGGCTGGCAGCCAGAGCCCCAGACCTCATCTACACCCACCTCACCACCACCGGCAGCTCTCGGGAGCACCTTGCTCCTCACACAGGTGGGCGAGCCGAGGCCCGGAGCAGAAGCAACTAGCTAGCGGGTCCCGGGTGTGTCCCCAGTCTGTGCTGAGGAGGCTCTAGGAGTCTAAGGGTTTCCGTAGACGCCCACCCCGAATGTGTGGGCTCTGGAAGGGCAGCTGACCGTGGCTACGTCCCCAAAGCCAGGCTCCCAGCAAATCCGCACACACGCCGGGGCAGGTGCAGTCAGGGTGCGGCTTGGGGGGGTGGGGAGAGGGGACAGTGAGGGCTCCCAGCTCAGCCCCAGCCCATGGAGTGGGGGGGCACTGGGGAACAGCTCCCTGGCCAGGGGCCGCCTCCCCTCCCACAGGCCCAGCCTCCCCGGGAAGAGGCCCAGAAAAGGAGGAGGAAAAAATTCATTTCCTGAACATGCACGGAGACAGGGAGGACAACAGGCAGTGTCCACGTGGCAGCCCCCAGGCACCCATGTCGCCAGCAGCCGCGCCCCCAGCAGGCACACGGTGGAGGCGGAGGGGGGGGTTCTTGTTGGGACCGGCAACACCCCTCTTCAAAGCAGGGCCCTCTGCTCCTTCCCTTCATGCCCTTCGCGAACTCTGCACCACTTTGCCCCGCAGGACCCATGCCTGCTTCTCCTTGCTCCCAGGACAATGGGGAAAGGGTCCCAGGGGGCCAGTCATGGGGGACGCGAGGGTCTCTCCCACCAGCAGGAGCAGGCCACCCCCTGCTCCCCCAGGCCCAGGCCAGGTTTTTTCTCGGGGCCAAATCCATGCCTCCATGTGCTAGGCCTACCCCAGGCACCAGGGACACAGCTGGGAACAAAACATACCTCTCTGCTTTGGGGCCAGTGAAGACAGAAAGAAGAACACACCAGATGCCTCCCAGCCTGAGGAAGGAAGACACAGGGAGGAAACCTGAGAGCAGGGGAGGGTGGGGGCATCCTGCACATTCCCTCAGAGAAGGCCCTGCCTGGAAGTGGACGCCAGAGCGGAGCATGACGGGGAGATGCCAGAGGACCAGGGAGGTGCAAAGGTCCTGAGGCAGGAGTGTGCTCTCCGACTGCAGCAGCAGGGCTCCCCAGTGCATGTGCCATCCTCTCTCTAAATGCACACTGAGCTCCAGCTGTGTACCTGGTTCTGCAGGGGTGGGGCTCTTCCTCAGCTGCTCAGGCTCTCAGTGGAGGACAGATGCACTGGCCAACAGCCACCCTGGGGGACATCACAGCAGGGTGAGGGACAGTGGGTCACCAAGCTCAGGCCTCACATCTGTGAAGTGGCTCAGAGGCTGACCTTGGGTGCTCTCTCCAGGGCAGTATAAATCCTCCCCTTGGAGTTCTGCTGTGAGGACCTAGGAGGATGTCCACTGTCTCGGTGACGTCAGTGAAGGCATCTGAGCTGACCCTGTGCCACCCGGTGCCCAGTTTTGGCCTCCCTGGCTCCCGAGGAGTCTGCGAATGCCCCGTGCCAGGGCAGCTGTGGAGAGGGTTTGGTGGGAGAGAGTGGGAGTTCCGGGGGTGCGAGTCAACAGGGCCCAGCCTCCTGCCAAGAGCAGGGGGCACACACTGATGGGGTGCTCGGGGCCACTCTCCCCAGGAAGAAACCAGGTCCTTAGTGGGCCCTACTGCTCCCTCCTCCCCTCTCCCTCCCCGCCGACTGGGTGCCAGCCACCTGGCCTCCTCGGAAGCTCCCGGAAGATGCAAAAGTCCTAGCTCAGCCCCCAAGCACGAGAAAGAGCAGGGGGGTAGCTGCGGTCGCCCAGTTCCCAGGGGCTCCGTCCAGGCTCAGCCTGGGTCAGTCTCGACATGGAGCCAGTGGGGTGGACACTCACAATGGGGTGTGAGGGCTCCCAGGAGCGCAGGTGTGCCCAGCTGGGCTGGGAGAGGAGGACATGCCAGGGGAGGGAAAGGGGGGTGGCCTCCCTCACTCCCACCGGGGTGCCCAGCTCTCCTCTGAGACACTCATGCTTCACACCCGGCCCAGCTGCGGGGGATGCGACCAGCAGCAGGGACGACCTAGGGCCGGTCCAGGTGAGGGAGCCCAGAGCCCATGCTGGACGCCCTTTCCCAGTCCAGGGCCCTCAGGGGGTCCAGGCTGGGCCAGCGTGAAGCTGGGCATTCCAGAAGAGGGTGGATTCTCAAGGCTCTGATTCTCGCTGGGAACCCTGGGGAGCCTAAAGACCCCCCGGGCCAGAGAGCAGGATGGACCCCGGGGTCCGGAAAGGGCCCCACGTCCCTCGGCTGAGCAGATAGGACAGCCCAGACACGCTGTTGGAGGGGGGCCCCTGTCCCGGGGGAGTAGGACAGGGGAGGACGAAGCTGGGCACATGGTAGGTGGGAATGAGGGTAGGTTCGGCCACGTGTTCCCAGAAATGCCCAGTGTGGGGGGCCGTGCAGTGGGTGCTGGGACTCCACCTCTACCAGCTGGGAACCAGGGGGACCAGCTCCTCCCCAGGCCAGGCCTGGACGCTCCATCTTCAAGACCATCCTAGGGAAGGAGCTACCTAAGGAAGGAGCCCCCCATCCCAGTGCAGGACCCCCCACCCAGCCCCCTCGGCTGCCCACGGCTGGGCCCCTGCTGGCGTGGCCTGCTCTGCCTCAAGTGTCCGAAAGTCCAGGGCCATGGGGAGCTGCCCCCACCCACCCACGGGGGTCAGCCTGGCAGAAGGAGGCCCCAGATGCTGCGAGAGCTCTGTGACCAGGGTCCGGGGCCAGTCACCCCACAGCCCCACGCTCACACAGCTGGCCACGCCGAGTGGTCTGAGCAACCATGTGAGGACGGAGGAAAGGCGAGACCCCACAGGCCCGTGCTCAGGAGATCCGTGCTTGGGTTCATACTCTGCAGTTGCCCTCTTGAAATTCTTACTAATTTTTGAATGAGGAGCCCTAAGGCCCCCCTGACTCTGCAGCTGGTGCAGCTCCCGGCTTTCATGCTGAGTGCGTCAGAATCAGCCAGGCCCCAACCCTGAGCCTTGATTGCCCATCTGTGAAATGGGTTTATGTCCAGTCCCCAGCGTGGCCTGGGGTGGTGAAGGGAACAGACGAAGCTCCGGGGCCGGGGGTGGATGGTGAGGCGTCCCGGAGAGACAGAGGAGGAGAGGTGCGGCGGGGAGGCAAAACTCTCTCTTTGCCACGTGGTGTCCCCCCTTCCTTCCCTCCACGCCCAGTCCCACCTCACCCAAGATGCTGGGAGGATAGGGTCTGAGTCCTGTGGAAAAGAAGAGGCTGCACATTTTCCGAGATGTTTTAAACGTTTTTTTCGCAACGCCGCCTCCTCCATGGCCCGAGTTATCCTGACATAAAATAAGCCTGACCTGCATCCCGGCCCCAGGCTCCGGCTCCCTGCGCTCCCTCCAGCCCTGGCAGGAGAGGCCCGTCTGCCCTCTCCAAATGGCCTCTTTTTGGGGCCAAAAGACACGTCTCAGTGCGCTGGGCTCTGCATGGCTAAGTGGCAAAGCCGAGTCAGTGTGGGTGGTCCCAAACCCCATGTGGACATCCCAGACCGGGAAGGGGCTCAGCCGACTGGTGTGACTGGGCCAGAGGCCTTCACGCTGCAGGAGGAGAGACTGAGGCCCAGAGAGGCAGAGGAGGTCGCCCGGACCTCAGAGCAAACTGCTGAGCTGGAGCGGGTCCCAGGGATTGTCCCTAACGGGTGAGTTGTGGGTCATCGAAGGGCGCAGGCCTGGGGAGCGTGGCGCGGGCATCAGCCGGGGGTTCTCTGAGCCTCGCCTCTCCACCTGCCAGAGAGAATATGGGATGTTTCTAAACATGAAGGACCTCAGTGTACCCAAACGACCTGGCCCAGGGCCTGACTCGCACAGGGCAACAGAAGCGGGTAGCTCATCCGGGAAAGGGGGTCGTGCCTGTGAAGGGCTTGGACGGGCTGACAGGTGGGATTCAGAGACCCAGGCCACCAGCAGGCAGCAGAAGGGGGGCCAGCAGATCCCGCCCTGGGCAAGAGCAGGCCCGCCTCCCCTCCCTTCATCCTGCTCCTCTCGACATGTGGGGGGCTCCAGGGACATCTTCAGAGGGGGAGGTAAAATTCTCCCGTACCTTCTTAGGTTCAGAATTGGAGAGCTGCAAATTAAACGGACAAAAGTCAGATGTGTGAGAGAAAAGACAGATTTTTATCCACGTACGTACATACTTGGGAGTTCACAGAAAAATATGATTCAAGGGGGCGGTTCAAATTTGGGGCTTAGGTACCACCTTAGGGGGCTCTCGGAGGAGAAGAGGAGGGGAGAGGGGTGCCTACAGGAAATCAGGTGACTTCTGGGAAAGATAAATGGGCCTTAGGAGACTCATCGGGAGCTATAACAGCATTATGGTGTCAGTCAGGTGCGGGGTGGGGCCTTCTCATCCTCATGGTTAAGAGTCCGTCTTCCCTGGCTGCTCTGAGGAGGGCATTTCTGACCAAGGTTCGGGCTTGCTCGGGTCACATGCCTGCTGAAGGCCACACTTGGCAGCACTTGTCTGCCCACGAGGATGGACAAGGCCTTGGTGCTGAGACCACAGGGCCACCGGGGGTGGGTCCTCCAGAAGGGCGGAGCCGTCGTGCGGGGGACGGGGGAACCCAGTCCCCTGCCCTACAGGAATGACAGACAACTGAGCTCCTGGAGTGCGTGAGTGCCTGGTCCCCACAGGGCAACCCCAGGCTGCTGGCACCAACCAGGGTTCTGGCACTTTCCTCGCAGGTCGCCTCTGGGCTCTGGGTCATGTCCCTGCACGCAGGTGGGGCGGCAGAGTCCAGACCGTCCTTCGGGGCTGGGGAGAGTGGAAAGTCAAGGGCTGCAGGCGACCCCCAGGGCTGGACTCCACTCCTGCCCCAGCCCCGGCTCAGCCCCTGCACGGGGAGGCCTCGGGGTGGCCGGCGTCAGGTGACCCCTCCTGCCCACTCCAGACGTGGAGTGAACATGTGAGCCAAGGCCAGCAGGCCCGTCAGGACCAAAATCAGGGACGTAGGCCAGAGGTGAGCGGGGAGCCCGGTGGTCCCAGCCCGGGCACGAGGGAGGCCCAGCCAAGTGAACGAAGCAGAGCAGAGTGGCAGGGAGATGCAGCCGTGGCCCAGGGGCTCCCCACCCCCAGAGGCCCGGGGGACTCTGTTCCTGCCCAGGAAGCTCGAGGATGGCCCGTCCGAGCCCGAGACGCTGTGTGCCCTCCACACAGGCATGAGCACGAGACAGAGCTGGGCCCCCCAGGATGCCTCGGGCCCCGCCGGCCCACCAGCTGTGGTGTCCTCTCGCCTCCTCCCGAGGGGCACAGAGGGGCATAGAGGGTCACCAGCTAGCCTCAGCTTCACCCCACGTCCCCCCGCCTCCCCCGGAGGACGCAAACTTCCAACTCGGGTTGGGCGCTCTGCCGACGGGACTCTCCAGGGGCTGAGGCCGCCAGCCCAGAGCTCACGGGCCACGTAGGCCCCACGTGGGCCAGGCCAAGACCACGGGGAGAGGCCATCCGCTCATCAGCGTAGACTCTGGGTGGGCCTGGATCGCGGAAGTCAGCCCCGACTTATTTCCCCTCACACGTCTGAGCTGAGGGACCCCCAAAACCCACCTGAGCTGCGGACACGGCCAGGGCTCAGACGACCCATGCACACCTACACCAGTCAAGCCTGGGGACCAAGGCTAGAAGTGGACATTGTCATGGTGGCTCTGAGGGGGGGCAGGGCATTGGGGGTGCAAAGGGGGGTGTGGAGGCTCGGGGCACCTGCCCCTTCCAAAGTGGAAGTCAGGTGACAAACAGGCTTTGAGCACAAACCTTCTGCTCTCCTTTCGAAACTTCTTTTACTATTTTGTCATGAACAGAGGCGTCGAGTAACCAGGAGTGAAAGTTATAACTATGGAAACGTGTGGGAGAGACTCTCACCAGGGACCTGCACAAATATGGAACCTTCTGGAGCGCGGGGTGGGGCTGGGGCCCCACGCCCCTGGACGGCCGCCAGACGGCCCAGGACAGGACCAGCGAGGCCACCCTGTCTCAGCCGCCAGCATCCCCCTTCATTTCAGCGACTCCACAAACCTGCCGCCAGGCTGGGCATTCTGCTGGCAGGGACTTTTATCGTTGAGTTGTTTTAAAGGTTTGTTTTTTTCCCCTTGCTGCACAAAACTGATGCCCTCGCTCATCAGACTGCCGTCTGTCTTCAGGCAGAAGAATGCAACAGGGGAGCCCCAGGGCTGTCTGGTTTGTCTCCGGGAGGGGGGAGCGCCAGCCCGGCTGCCATAAAGAGGCAGAAAATGCACCAGCCACGAGCTCCGTGTGCTCACAGACCATCCGCCCCCGGAGTGCGGAGCTGGCCGGGGTTCCAGGCGTGGCTGATGCCCTGGCCCTGCCCCATTGCAGAGGTGCCAGCCTCGCTCTCTCCCTCCCCCCTCGCTGGGCGCCGACCTGCCACCCGAGCGCCCCTGCAGTGGGCCTGTGTCCCGACTTTCCCCGGCCATGGCCACTGACCGTGGCCAGTAGCTGGGAAGTGAGCGCCCTTCTCTGCCTCCGTCCTCCTGCCGGGGTCCCTCCAGGTCGTGCTACTGCGGCGAGGCCCCGCGCAGCCCGCCGGCCCCTGGCTGGGGGCAAGCTGCAGCTCTAGCAATGCCCATGTGGGGGCTCCAGGCCAGGGGCTGCGCCGGGCCTCTGCATGCCTTCTCAGTGGCCGGAGGAGGGGGTTCCATTAGGATCCCCATTTTACAGACGAAGCAACCGAGGCCCAGGGGAGCTCAGTCACGTGCCTGAAGCCACACGGCCACGGTCGGAAAGCGTGTCCCTCTTGACGGACACCACATTGCAACTCCCGTCCCGAGCCCAAAGATGGCCCCCCAGGCCCTCCAGGATCCAGCTAGCCCTGACACTGACCGAACCCACCCGGCCTGTCAGAAACCGGCGTCCCGTGGCAGAGAGGAGCCGGCGTGTGAGAAAACAGGCCACGGGAAGGTGCCACGAGAGCCCTCAGGAGAATGGCCACAGCCGGCACCTGGCTGAGCCGGAATGGGCCAGCGCAGCACAAGAGATCGTGTGCAAGTCGCGGTGTGTGGGGTGACTCACGGGGCGACTCACGGGGCACCGCCGCTCCACCCCGGCCGGCCGCTGGGGGGAGGCCGCCGAGCAGCCAGGGGGCCCGCGTGGAGGGAGCCAGCAGGGGCCTGGAGGCGGCTCTCCCTGCCCCGGTGTGATGCTCTGACCACACGGTGACATCGGACTGAGGCCTCGTGAGAACCAAGTCCTGGCGCATGGGGGCTGTGACAGCCGACCGCTGGTCACGTCGCCTCCGGCCACCAGGTTGCGGGTGGGTCCTTACGCAGGCCCCTCTTTCCTCCCTAGAGAAAGAAGGTGGAAGGTCCTCCCCCGGGGCCCCACCCCTCGGCGAGCTGCAAGGCACCTGCCACGAGGCTTTTCCTCCCATTCGGCCCCCAGTGGGCACCCGGCGGGTCCCCGCCCTCCCTGAGTGGGGTCAGGGAGGCAACAGGCACCTCCTCTGGCAGAGCATGATGAGGACGCGTGGAGAAGGGGAGCTGGCTCCCTGGAGGAGGCCACACCCGCGCGGGTCGTGCTCCCACCTCACTCGGGGGAAGGACTCATTTCTTTAGGCCACGGGTTCTTAACAGGGGGCGGGTCTGTCCCCCAGGGGACACTTGGCAACGGCTGGAGACGGTTGTGGTTGTCGCTACCAGGGTGGGGAACGCCTGCTGGCGTCTGGCGGTAGAGGCCAGATGCTCGGGACGCCCCCCGGCGCGCCGGACGGCGAGGGGCGAGGGTACCTCCCAGGCCAGCAAGACACTGCCCGCACGTGAGGAAGTGGCCGGGGCCCCGGGCAGCCCGAAGGCAGATGTTTGTTTAGGGGAGGCGGTCGCCCTGACTCCTGGGGCCCAGTGCTGGCCTGCCACCCACGCAGAGGGGCTTCTCACTTTGGACTCAGGAAGCCAAGGGGGGGGCCACAGCTAACTCCGGCACTACCTGAATCTCGTGAAGTGAGTTCTCAAAAATGGAACGTTTGCTGTTTGTGGAAGTCCTGCCTTTGGTGACCCAGGTGTCTCCTCTGGACCCACTGTGTGCGTCCTGCACCCTGCTCTGTGCCCCAGGGGCCCGGCTGCCCTCCCGCAGGGTCACCCAGCCCTTCCGTGCCCCCCTGCCGGGCCCCACCCTGCCCTTGGCTCCGGCTGGTGACAGCGCCCCACTGCTCCCGGCCCGGGCCTGCACTAGGCCTTGAGACGTCCCTACACCAACACGGTGACCTCATTAAACTTGCTTCCAATCACCCCAGCGTCGTGGAGGGTCCCTTTCCTGCAGGGACTCTATCATCTCCAGGTCCCCAAGGCCCCTACTCAGAAGGTGACAAGCCAGCCACCGTGAGGAGGATGGATTCGCCGGCTGCAACTTCTGTAGGCCTCGGTTTCCCCAGGCTGCAGAGTGAGAGCTTATTCTGGGGGATTCTTTTTTGTTTGTTTTTAAAGATTTTATTTATTTATTTGAGAGAGAGCGAGTACACAAGCAGGGGGAGCAGCAGAGGGAGAGGGAGAAGCAGACTCCCCGCTGAGCAGGGAGCCCGACACGGGGCTCGATCCCACGACCCCAGGATCATGATCTGAGCTGAAGGCAGACACTTAACAACTGAGCCAGCCAGGCTCCCCTATTCGGGGGGATCCTGAAGGACTCTCCCCGCAAGCCCTCGTGGCCTTGGGGAAAGAGTAAAAGGGAGGTGGCCACAGTCAGAAGTCCTCACAGCCCAGAGAAGCAGGGCAGGTGGACGGGCAAGAGCACCCCGGCCGCCGCCGGCCGCCCCTTCCCGGGCATCTCATGGCCTGGCCCTGAGCTCGTTCACAGACAGCAGGACTCCTCACCAGAACCCTCTGAGGTGGGCACTGGCCCCAGGGCACAGACGGGAAAACCGAGGCTCAGGAAGGGTCCGTCATTGCCCAAGGTCAGAGAGCTGAGGATGGCACGGCTGGGTTCTTCCGGTCCAGGCCCAGAACCCTTGTCCGCCTGTCCTGCTGCCTTGTGACAAACAGGGCCGCTGCCCCTGGGAGCTACCCAGGAACTCCGCAGGAGGACAAAACAGACCCAGCCCGAAGCCCACCGTTAGCTATCGATGTGTGCAGGAGCCCCCTGGATGCTAACATTGGGCAAAAGCTCAAGAACAAACAGGATACTTGCGTTCCCAGGACACGGGTGAAGGGCGGAGGGCTGCATGGTGACGGAGGGCCTTCTGGGGGAAGCTGGGACCTGGACAGTCTGCGGGGCCAGGAGATCCATCACCGTTAAGTCCTTCCAGTGACCCAGTGAGGCCAGTGCCGCTATGATCCCATCTCACAGAAGGGGAAACTGAGGCTTGGAGCAATGGGCAACTTGCTCAAGTCTGTACAGGCTGTGCGTGGCATCTGCGTGCAAGGCCCAGCACCCTCTACAGGCCCACACGCCTGGTACCTGCTCGCCCCTCAGTCAGCACAACCGGGGCTCATGGGGAGCCCTGCAGGAGCCGAGATCTCCAGGCAGACAAGACTTCTGTTCACAGAACCCGAGAACACATGAAGGTCAGACGGGCAGACATGGTTCAGGAGGGCTTCCTGGAGGAAGGAGCAGGTCAGGGATCATCACAGAGCTTCCCCTAATGGAGCCCTGGGGCCACGTTGTCAAGACCCCTTGGGATAACCCACTTTGGGTCTTCCTGAGGCTGCATCCACGTCCAGCCAGGAGGCCCCCCGCCCCCCCTAAGCTGGAGACCTGCAGCCTGTCCCCCTGTCCTCCCGCCCGTGCTACGGAGAAGACGGAGAAGGTGAGGCTCCCAAGCTCAGCCACAAACCACTGCTCTTAGGTGACACCGAGCCACGGATCATCACTGCTGACCCACTGCCCCCTAGCTTGAGCCCCTCTGGCACGGAAAGTTCTGGGGCTCCTGGGGATGCCTGCATTTCCCGTGGTGGGAGGAGGCCCTCGAGGGGCTTGAGGAGGGATTTCTGACTCACAGGTTTATGGCCAAGGCCCCCAGTGGAGAAGTAGCCGGGGGCATCACACAAAGCAGGTAGGTGTCTCTCCACCAGGGCCGCGGCGGGCAGGTTTCGGGGTGGCCGCCCTTAAATTCAGCCACCGTCTTCATGCCCCCAACCCTCTGTCTTGGGACAGTCCACCTCCTGCCGCTCCCTGCCCCAACCTGTCGCCCCTTGACGCGCCAACCAAAGAGTCAGGTCTGTCCCCTCCCAGCCAGACCCCTGATATTCATTGACCCACCTCGCCCCAAAGCGAGATGCAAACAGAAAGCAAACCAAAGGCTCAGAGGGCAGGCGCCAGCTGGGGGCTGACCCAGGTCCAGAACCTGCCCGTCTGACCCCTGCCTGGCGCTCCCACCCCACCCCGGGCCCGTGGAAAGTCCAACAAAGAGGATCAGTGTGAGGACAGCCATAGCCCATGGCCAAGGCTCCCACAGGCGGGGGGAGGGGGACCGAGAGCTCCCTGCTTAGCACAGAGCCAGCGGCTACTTTCCATGGAAAAAATGTCTTCAGGCCCCCCCAGAGGCCAGGAGGCCCCAGCCCATGACTCAAGACTCTGCTGCAGGCACCGCTGAATCGTGACCCAGACAGACGGCGCCCCCTGCGCCCCACGCCCCGTGTCCCGAGCCAGGCTCTGCCCCCCGCCCGGCCGGGCCCCCTCCAGGCCGAGCCCCACAGCCCCACGCGGGCCCGGAGCCCTCTGCCCACACCCCACCGGCGACCCTCTGCCGCGCACCCCGTGTCCTCCAAGGCCTCGGCCTCCCACCTGTCGAGTGGAAAGAGAGGTGGGGGCAGTTTCCAGTTGGGCCTGAAGAGCCTGCGGGGCTTGGCTCAGGGGGCGCCCTGCTGGGTGGGCTCCCAGGGCAGGGCCTTGCTTCCAGGCCTGACGAGGGTCAGCTGGTCCCCTTGAACCTGAGTCGCCTCAGGCAGACACCCGCCTGTCCTTGCTACATCACTGGGCTTCTCTGTGGGGTTTTACTTCAAGGAACCTTCCTGACAAGACATGGAGACGGCACTAAGCTGGCCCCCCACTCCCCCGGGCGTGAGGTCTTCAGGGATCACAGGCCTGTCTGGGAGGGGTCTGCAGGTGGAGCTGTGGTCACCTTGGTCAGAGGCCTGGGCCTCCATCGGGGGGGGCTGGGCGGAGGCATCTACAGAGAAGCCCTAGAATCTCAAGGATGGGCAGTTGGCACCCTCTCCGTGCAGCTCCCGTCATGTTCCCGGACCCCTGGCTCTGGGCCCTGGCCCTCCCGAGACCCGTCGAGTGGTGCTGGGACAGGCACGTCCTGACCCAGGGGCTGGAACTGCCCCAGGGCAGGAGGTACAGAGGCTGGCTGCCACCCTGCCTCCAGCTCCAAGGCAGAGGTGCCAGGACCTGGGCACCATGTGAGGGTCAGCAACCCTTGGCCCCCACCCTAGGACATGCTCGGAAAGCACTGGAGCAGGGGGTACACTGAACCGGGGAGCCCTGAGCCCCGCAGTCCCAGGGCACCCTGCCGGGCCCGGGAGCCCTCGACACCAAAGGCGTGGCGGGGAGAACAGAGCCGGCTCAGCCATGCTGGGTTCTGGGGCCGGGGGGCTCGCGGTGGGCCTGACGGAAACTGAACTTCGGCGGGGAGCCCGGTGGAGTGCTCCTCCTCTGTCCTCCCTCCCGCAGTGGGGCAGCCCGGCCCAGCAGGGCCTGGCCGCGAGTTTGAGACCAGACACCCCCGTAAGCCCAGGGTGAGGGCCCCTGTTCTGCTTCTCTCACTTCTGGAAAAGACCCCGCGTTTCATCAACTGTCCTGATTCGAAAGCCAGGAGCCGGCCTGGGACCCATTCTGTGTGGTGTGTGTCACAAAAGCATCTCGAGCTTCATAGTTTCCCCCTGACGTCAGCGGCATGGTTTGAATCCGAGGTGGCTGTGAGGCCCTCCGAGCATAATTGCAGTTGTCTTTGCAAAGTGAAATCAGATGGTTTTTCCAAACCTCCCCCAACCCCTGCCTCCTCCGCTCTCTCTCTCTCTCTCTCTTTTTTTCATTATGTTCCTTGGACCATGTCCAGATGTTTCCTGCAACAACAACCCTCCAAAAATTCACAAAAAGAGAGCAAGAGCGCGCGGCTTCCTGCCGGCCGGGTGGAAGTGCGGACGTGGCGGGGCGGGGGCGGCCGGCCACGTCTGCAGGCCGGGGAGGCGGCGGGCCCCGGTCCGGTCCGAGTCCTCCACCGCCTCCACGCCCCGGGGCTGGACCCTGGGAGGACACGGGCCTGGGGCCACGAGGCCTTAAGGACGGCCCCTCTCCCCGGATGCCAGGGTCCTGGCCACATGGGGGGGGGGGGGGGACCAGGGGAGGCCGTGGCCCGGGAAAGAGCAGGGCAGAGCTTCAGGACCAGGCTTGGGGCTCAGACTGGCCTGCTGGGACTCCCAGCCCCGCGGCTGAGGCGTGCAGCCACGGGAAGCCACGTCTCCACGCAGAGCCTCATTAAGGGCGGCCTCTGTCCCGTGCTGGCACCAGGGAGCACCTCATCGAGACCGACTCACCTGGAGGCAGGTGTGGAGCTGAACAGGGAGGGCAGGTTCCAGAGGGCTCAGGGGAGAAGGGGCATCTGTGCCCTGGAGGGAGCCCAGGTTTTCCGCAGGCAGAGATGGGGGAGAGTGGTCGAGGCAGGGGAACCACTTTGAGCAACGGCCCCAAGGCCGGACAGACCCACCGTTGGGGCCTGAGACCCCTCTGGGAGGGCCGGCACAGGAGGGCCTCTGGGGGCGCTGCATGACGGGGCCGGGCCATCCCAGCTCTGCTGGCACTCCCAAAGCCTCAGCGAGGCCAAGCTGGAAGCCTCACCGGAGCCCGAGGAGAAAGATCCAGACGCCGCCTTCGGGAGCCCCCACCAGCCCCCAGCATCCCAGCTTCTGAGAAGACACAAGTCTTCGTGTCCAAAGTTCTGCCACGCAGTGTCCCCTCCACCCTGTCTGCTTCCCCGTGGCCAGGATGGCAGATCTGGGACGGGGCAGGAGGGCGAGCACAGGCCTCCCCAGCCCACGGAGGTTCCCCACACCTGGAGCCCTGTGGTTCTTCCCGGGGACTCGGGGATCCAGGGCGGGGGGTCTGCGGGGCCAGAGCTGGGAATGCGGGCAGCTGGAGAGAGGTGGGTCAAAGGCCCGGGAAGCCTCAGCAAAATGTGCAGGGGTCTGTACTTGGGGGGGTCCTGGGACAGGACTGCTCTCTGTGGCCTGTGATAGAAATGGGCCGGCACCTTCCCCACTCAGCTGCCTGCAGGGCCCACCAGCAGAGATGCAGTTCCGGGGCCCCCCAGACCAACCTTGGGTTCAGGGAGCTCAGCCAAGCAGCAGCATGGTGGCCTCCTGCGTGTGGACGGTGGTCAGCTGTCCCGAAACCCTATGTGACAACACGCGGGGCCAACCAGGGAAGCCATCTGAGTTCGCTGGGTGCCGGTCACACACACGCAGCTGACCTGAGTCTTCTGTCCCTCCAGAGGTCGAGCTGATACTGTGCGACCCAAGGGCCCCCATAGATGCCATCATCAGCAGAGACTCTCTGGTGTGGGCCAAGGCCCCAGGGAAACCAAGGCAGGACGTCCGAAGGGCTCAGAGGTTGCCTCCCAGGAGCTGGGCCCGGGCCAGATCTTTCTTTGGAAAATGTGGGCTATGGGCACATGGGGTGTGCCGAGTTAACCCTTTCCTGCACAGTGATGCACTCACCATGTGCCGGGGGGGGGGGCGGGGGGGCACCAGTCCGAAGGAGCCCAGGCACGGGAGAGTGGGCAAGAGAAGCGTCTGGCAGATGTCCAGCCCGCCTGACACAGGGCCGACCCACGGGGGCCAGGACACCTGCCACCACCTCCACCCTACAGGTGATGCGTGGAGGCCAGACGGGGTCACGGAGCCCGAATGCACGCCCAACCTCACACCGCACACCCACTTGGCCTCCCGAGGGAGGTGGGCCCTCACCGTGAGCGGCTCTGAAACCCTGCGGGGCGGGGCTGTGTGGGTGCGGCCTCCCCCAGTCACCACCCGGCTACTTCCCTCGCCTTCACGTGGAGTTTGGACTTGACAGGAGCGCCCTTCACGGTGGCCGCCCTGCTCGGCCCTGCTCCAACCCGCCCAGGCCCCCAGAGAAGAGCGCGCGGGACCCCTTCCACTGTGGAAGGTGCAGCAAGTGTCTGCAGGGGCCGGGGGGCACTTCATCCCCTGGATGAAACCCCAGTGTGCACACAGCAGAGGAGGGAGGTTTGGGGGAGGGAGAGGCCACCCCGCCACCCGGAACCACAAACCTCAAACCTCAATTCCAGAACAATCCCCTCCCCTTACAGCAGGGAACGTGGACCCCTCCAGAGAGCGGAAGGGACGTGCCTCTGGTCACAAAGAGCTGTCACAGCCCTCAGCCACCCCCACACTGGTCACCTATCCAGAGATGTCCCCGATGCAGGCTGAATCTTTTGATTCTTCGTAGAAACATTTGGAAGATCCGTATCTGATGGTTTTAGATAGGTGGGCCGAATCTGAGCAACCCTGCCAAGCAGTCCGGCGGGGGCCCCAGCAGCAGCAGGAGAGATTTCAGTCAGGCCTCAGGAAGACTAAACAGGCAGTGACTGGAGAATCCTGCCTGGTTACGGACGAGCTTCGGGACTCCCCACCTGTAACACATAAACAGGGGTTCCGGAACGTTCTCAAGCACAGGCACAATGGCCTTGTAAACAGCAATGGGACCAGGCCATACTGTCCAGTGGGCTGGCCAATAGAGCTCGAGATCTACGGGCCACCTGCCAGTAGCTGAGCTCCTGGACCGCGGTGTTTGTGACCGGAAGATGGGAAAACATCAACAGTGGTTCAGGGGCAGAAATCAGAGGATTTAAACCCAGGGTTCCTCCAGGAGCACCTGGTGGGGAGGTCATCGGAGGTCCTTGATTTCTTCACACTCTCCTCGATCTTCATGAGCCCTACCCGGGGTACCAGGGATGAAATTGGAAGATTTTGTGCCCAAAGAACTCCTATTTATCCTTCAGTGCCCACTCAGAGGGGAAGCCTTCCAGCCCCTCCAACGGTTGCTCTCTCCTCTGCGTTCCCACAGCACTCTGAACGTGCCCTCCTCCCGACACAGATCGGCCCACACGTGCTGTCCGCATGCAGCCCCGTGAGAATGTTCTGGACTGTCACTGTCCGATAGGCCAGCTACTCGCCACATGCGATTTCGGAGAGCTGGGAACGTGGCTCGCACAAACGGAGAGGTGCCGCAAGTGTAAATAGATACCAAATCTCAAGGACTCTGTGCCAAAAACCAAATGAAAAATAGCTCATTAGTAACTTTTATATTGCTTGCATATTGAAGTCATAATCATTCACCATACTGGGTTAAATAAAATATATATTATTCAAATTCACGTGGCTCTTGATGTGACCACTAGAACGTTTTTAATCCCATATGTGGCCCACACTGTGTTTCTGCCAGAGAGACTCTGCCAACTGCCGAGCCCGCTCAGGTTCCTGGGCAGTGTTTGCTGAATGAATGAATGAATGAATGGGCGGACGAATGAATGGGTGTGTGGGTGCTCAGGCCTAGCGCCCCGGAGTCCGACTTACCCAGCACAATGGTCCTGTCGTCATGCAGACGATCGGTACCGTTACCGAAGCGCAGCCCCCTCCTCTGGGGTCTACAGCCAACCCGCACATCATGTGCTCAGCCCCACGGGGCGCTGAGCCCTGTGCTGGGGTCTCAGGGCACCCCCAAGAGGAGCCGGGGGCCTGCAACGAGGGAGGAGCCTCACAGGCTGCTTAGCATGCCCCTGACCAAGCCTAGGGGCTCCGAGCGGGCAGAAGCAGGGGGGCATGGGGGGGCCCAGTGCCGGCCTTTCCCCCGGAGCCTGCGAGGCCGAGGAGAAGGGAAGCAGGAGGGGAGACAGGTGGCAGTGGAAGGGACAGAGTGGGCCGAGCCTCCGGGGCAGGAGGGTCATGGAAGGCTGGGAAGCGGCAGAGCCGTTTGGAAGGGGACTGAGAGGAGGCCAGTGGGGCTGTGAGGTGTCAGGCTGATGCCACCCAGCCCCGTACCTGACCTGCCCCGGGACCCCACGCATCGGCTGCTCCTCTCCCCTGCTCTCACCTCTGAGCTGCTCTTGAATGCCCGGCCCACTCCTGCCTCTGAGCCCTCACCCCTGCTGTTCCCCTGCTGGGATGTCTTCCCCTGGATCTCTGCGGGGTTGGCTCCTCAGGAGGCCTGCACCATGGACGGCTTCCCACCTGCCGCACACCTTGACTCCTCAGGGTGCTTGGCTGGGACGCATGGCCCGGCCCCCAGTGCAGCCTCGAGATGCCCAGTGCAGGCTCCCGGCATGCCCCACCTTTCCTGGAAGGGTGCACTCCTGGGGGCTTTCTGCAGGCTCTGGGGACAGGCTGGGGTGTCCCACTGGGGTCCAAGGTGGTCCACATTCATAGTCACTTCACACCTGCCGAGGCCTGGCCACGGAGGCGGCCCCCCCTGGGCCTCCCCTAGGGCTGGCGCAGGCCCCAGATCCCCTGCGACCTGCATCCCTCTCCCCCAGCCGCAGGTGCACCCGCCCCACCCACTCCCCACCCTCCAGCTGGGAGAAGACCAGCTGGGAGGGGCACGCAGGGGCTCTGCGGGACGAGGCAGGTCCCAGCGTTTCCTCCGCCTTCCCGCCCGGCTCGGAAAGCTCCCTCCCTGTTTTCCGCCCTGTGCTTTCAGGGTAGGACGTGGGAAGGACACGCGTTTGAGGAAAGGAGGACCCCTCAGACGAGATGGAACCGGAGATGCTGGCATGGGGCCCCTCGGCGCTTCCACGCGTGGGGACACGGTGCGGACCTCCGGCGCGCCCGACCGGCTGGCAGCGCGGGGCGCGTGGGTGCGGGCAGGGGGCAGGCCGGAGACGCCAATGAGCAGGGACCCCGCGGGGCGACGGGGAGCGCTCAGCGGGGCGACGCTGCCCTCTGGTGGCGGCGGCGGTGCTGACAGCCCGGGCGGTCGCGTCCCCCCCGGGCGGGGACACCTGGGGAGGCCCGCCTCATTCCGCGTGCACCACAGCGGTCCGGGCGGGCGGGGGCTTCTCCAGTTGTGGCGAGTTTGCCCACCACCCTGTACTCCAGGGACGTTACATTTTGCCGAGTCGGCCTCACCTGCCGCCCCACGCGGCGAGGAAAGCGGTTTGCAGGGAATAAGAAGAGCTCAAGAAACGTCCCTTTCCTTGACTCTGCCTCAGTCCGCGTTGTAATCCGCAGAGCTCCGTGTGCAGTGACAGGCTTTATTGAACCCGCTCGTTCCTGAGCCTATTTTGGTTTTATAAACCCTAAAGTTGCGAAATTGAGGGACTCTCAGCTTGGAAGCATTAGATAGCGCCACCCGCTGTCCACCCGGAGACTTGCAACCCAGCTTTACAAGCGGCTGCAACTCTCCCCGCACGGGAGCCTCCACCGGGGGGTAGGGCAGGGCGTCCAGGGCCCCGGGGAATTTCCAGAGCCCTGGGAGGAGCTGATCACAGTCACGGGGGTGACAGCTCCAGGCCTCTAAGCAGGCGGCCCACTCCCGCCCTCACCCCCCGCCAGCCCCCCGGGAGCGCAGGGCTGCGGCCGCTCTGTCCCGCTGTCCAGCGCACCGGCCCCCGACTCCCGGAGCCCCCCAGACCCAGCCAAGCTGGCCTCTGTCTCCTGCACCGGGCGAGACCTCAGAACCCTTCTCAACGCAGCGCCCCAGGCAGCCCCGCTGTCCGGTGGGACGGGAGAGGCCGGCCCCTCCTCCACCCACATTGCATTTCCCCTAGCTCATTCTTTTTTTTTGGAAGTTGCTTTTTTTCCTAAGTAAAGTTATCACTTGTCACATCCAACATTCATTGACTCCAACCTGTCCCCGCCACGGCCCTCTGAGACCCCATGGCCCTCCCGCAACCCCGTTGTCCTGGTCCTCGGCGCCCTGGGCAGTCTCCGCTTTGCCCGCCCAGGGACCCTGCGGCCCAGGTGAGCCCCGCTTCCACTCCCGCGTCGGGCGGGGACACTGCCCCGCCACCGGGAAAGCCCGACACGGGTCTGGGTGTCCCCCACGGGCGCACGTCACAGCACGGTGGTTCTAGACGGACACACGCGTCGAGGATTCCTGGACGCCCCCCTGTCCTTGGTCAGGCACCGCTGCCCTCGCCATCCGCTCCTCTGGAGCCGGACGGAGCTAAGGCCTGCAAGCACCGAGCTCAGCCTGGCTCAGCACCATGAGGAGGTGCAAGGACTGGCCCGTTGCACGGATGCAGAAACTAAGGCTCGCCTGGAGAGCTGAGTGGGGGAGTTCACCCGTGTGACTCCGGACCCCTGGGGCAGCGGGAGAGGTCCTGGGCCTCCCAGTCCCCCAGCCACTACTTGAGGCCCAGCCACGAAGCTCTGCAGAGCCCACGTCTTCTGCTCCACGTGGATGCCCTGCTCTCCCCTCCCACACCCACAGCCACCAACCCCGGACAAAGGAGAAACCTCGCCTCTCTAGTGGGATGCTCCCTTCGGACCCCTGGCTCTGGGGCCTCTCCCCCCAGGTCTGGTGTTTTATGGGAGAGCTACAGTCTGAGGCACAGAGGGGTGGCAGGGTATGGCCCGGGCACCAAGCCAGGGTCCCTGCCCCCTGAGGTCCCTGGTGTGTCCACGAGCCTGGGCCTGGGAGCCAGGCCACGGCCGCCAGGTGGGCCCCGAGTGAGAGGGCGGCTTCCCCCTGCAGCCCGGCCAGCGGTCCCCAAAGCACCCAGGCTGCTCCTGGGCTGGCTGACCTCGGGGCTTTTCCGATTGCAGCGTCAGAGCTGCTCAGGGCGGTTGTGCTGTGATTAGGCTCGTACCTGTTCCCGCAGAGGTTCGCTCCTGGAGAAACTGGGGCTCGGGCCCAAGCTGTGATGTCACTGTAGTGACCTAGTTAGTGACCCTAACCTTAGGGGGTAGGAGGGAGCGAAAGAGGGCAGAGGGAGAGGGGGGAGGAAGAGCCCATCAGCCTGGCAGCTGACTTCAAACCCTTCTATCACCAGCCCCCCATGTTCCCCCACCTCCCTCCCTCCTGCTACCACTCTTCCCTCCCCTGCCTCTCCCCCTCCCTCCCCTTTCTCCCCTCCCCCACCTCTGTCCCTCCCTCCCTCCCTCCCTCCCTCCCTCCCTCCCTCCTTCCTCCCTCTTACCCTTCTCCCCTCCCCTCCCCTGCCTCTCTCCCCTTTCTCCCCTCCCCCACCTCCGTCCCTCTCTGCTCTCCTCCCTCCCTCCCTGCTCTCCTCCCTCCCTCCCTCCCTCCCTGCTCTCCTCCCTCCCTCCTTTCTCTCCTCCCTCCCTCCTTTCTCTCCTCCCTCCCTCCT